TGCAGGGCCCAACCGACAAGTATCCCTGCAGTGCCCAACCGCAGAGTATCCCTGCAGTGCCCAACCGCAGAGTATCCTTACACTGCCCAACCGCAAAGTATCCCTGCAGTGCTCAACCACTAAGTATCCTTGCGGTGCCCAAACGCAAAGTATCCCTGCAGTGCCCAACTGCAGAGTATCCCTGCAGTGTCCAACCACCAAATATCCCTGCAGGGCCCAACTGAAAAGTATTCCTGCAGTGCCCAAGCGCAGAGTATCCCTGGAGTGCCCAACAGCAAAGTATCAATATTCTTGCAGCACATTTGCAGTGCTGCAGGGAGACAGTTGAGGGGGGGCAGGGAAACGTCACACTTCTTGTGCAATAACGGCTTTAGGGTGGGGATGCTCGAAGTAAATAATTTTGTTTTAGGGTTTAGGTTTCAGGGTTCAATGTTTATGGTTTAGGGTTCTTTTTTTGTTTTAGGGTTAAGGGTTTAGGGTTCAGTGTTTGCATTGGTATACGGTTGTCGGCTCGGGGTAGAGGTTTTGGGCTTGGGAGCTGGGAAGTGTGATCTCTCTCTGTAGGGATACCGTTGGGTATCTCGGGGAGGGATGCTCCTCTTGAGGCCTCTGCAGTAGAAAGATCCTGGTTTAGGGTTTAGGGTTTAGGGATGGTTGCTGCAAAGCTTGGCAGGGCTCATTCTCGGCATAAGGCAGCTGTACAGCATGTGAGGCTCGACGTGTGAAAATTGGATTCGCATTTTTTGAGAAGTTCCCGCAACAATGCAAGCCTGCTGGAGGTTTCGGCGCCCTAAACCCTAGACTCCTAAATCCCAAGCCCTAAACTCCTAAATCCTAAGCCCCCAAACGCTAGACCCTAAACCTAAACCCCAATGGATGAGAACTTTTGTGCCGAACGCATCGCACGAGCCTCCGTCTGCTGGTCAACAACCTTCAGCACCGCCGTGGAACCCATCTCTCGATTTGCAATGACAACCTCGGAATATTTATGGAGTATACATTGGGGTTAAATAGGGATGATGGAAAAGAAAATGGAAACTACTATTTAGGGTTTAGGGTTTAGGGGTTGGAGGGTCAGGGGGACTTAGTAAGTGGGTTAATAATGTGGATAATTATAGTGTTACTATATGGGTTATAGGGTTGTTAAGCCGGACTTACTAAGTCCCCCTGACCCTCCAAGCATTGACAGACGGACAAACCAAATTATCATGAATCCGTGAGGGTCTGGATTGAGTTTGTTGATTGCGTTGTTCGGGGTGGACCAGTTTGATTTAAGATTGACTCGAATTGAGCGGCAACGACGATTAGAGTCTAGTGCTTGTGTCCCTCGGAGCGCTATTCACAAGGAGAGCTTCCAAAATCTTACGCTCCGTGGTGTGGTCTACAAACAATTAACAACTTCAGATAACTGTCTACTCCGGCTAAGCCAGGCTCATGTGTAGAAGCAGCCCCCATGCCATGCAAGTCAATTTATGAGCCGTGTATCAATATCTTCTAGTATGCCCAGAACGACCGACTTGAAGCCCTCACAAACCTAAAGCTCGGAACCCATGACACCCTGTCCACATCCTAAACCCAAACCCCCAAAGCCATCAACTCAACTGAATGCACTGCGCCACCTGAGTCAATCCAGGCAGCCTTACCGGTAACTTCGCAGCGAAGGTCAGAGTAGGCCTTCGCTGAGAACAACTTTCAGCATTTGAGTTCAGGGTTTCAAGATGCGACATTTAGGGTTTAGGGTTTGCGATAGAGGCATAAGAGGTTTGGATGCAAGGTATTAATTCATTCTAGGTTGTAGTATACCCTGGCATTTTAGGCCCTAAACCCTAAAAGCCCTAAACCCTGATTCAAAATTTGAGCCTCTTTTGTCCGGACAAAGCCGCCCCCTTCCTCTATGGCCTTAGCCCTCTCTGTGCCCTTGTCCTTGCGCAACAATTTGAAGCTACATGTGACCCCAATCACCTACAGTTTTATGGGTTATACCTACTAATTAAGGGGCAATTGCTATTAAAGTGTAGGTAGTTGGGGTTACAGGACGTTGCATGTTCAACTTCGTGATTCCCACTCCTTCTAACCTTCACGCACTTGCCAAATGTATATAACCCCCCTAGGTAGATAGAATATGACTTTGGGCAATTTTTTCAGATCCCCATATACCCCATATTCTATCTACTAATTTACTTAATTGGGACTATAGGTTCGAGGGTTTTGGGGTTAGGGGGGGCTGGAGGTGTTACAGGTCTAGGGTTTAGCATCCTCCTTAATAAACCCCCCATAGTAGTCCCCGATATAATCCCCCTTTAGAAGTTTAGACTATAGCTCAAGTGTGAAGAGCCGAAGTGGCTATGAGGAAAGGACGTTCCCGGTCGTATGCGGAACGTTCGCAAAGGACCCAAACCATTACTGGGTTGCTGTTAGGAACTTAGCTTCAGTTACTTTATTGGGGAAGCCCCATTACTTTATATATATATACATATTTAATATACCCATTATGATAACTTAAGCTAAGTTCCTTAACAGCAACCCAGATGAGCCGTAAACCTTGCATTGCATGCAGCGACCGGTGCTTCGTGCAAGGCTTCCTGAGCTCAGCCAGAACAATCCCCAACGTGAATTCGCAATATAGGGATAAACAGGGGATAGAGAAAAAGACGATCGAACTTACCGAATCATGATGGGGTGTATTTTGGGGTGTTATTACTACAGGGGAGTGTGAACATGCGATGCTCGGGAACGCATGACTAAAACTTCTCAAAGTCTGAAGAATCAACTATCATCCATTCTACCCCCCCCCCCAACATCCCCCAACCTACTATGCGTTAGTTTGTTTTATAATTCTATAAAGAACTGCCGACGGGATTGCTATCAAAGAAAGTTTCGGGTGGGTAGTTATGGGTGGGTACCCTTAGAAGAGGCCTATATAACCTGATATGGCCCCCATGCCCTTATACAAGCCTTAATGAAACTTTATCTGACGCTCCCACCTGGCTACTATCCGCATGGAGATGTCATTGGTACTACTCCCCTATGGTTTTGGAGATTCCTGGGCTCTTTAGCTCCCCTTATTATATTGATATCGACTATCCCTAGCTCCTTAGCTCCCCCCAAAAGTATGGGTAGACTACCCTAAACTTCAACCGTGATAGAGAAGAATTCATCTCTTCCAGGCCTTGACGCATCCTCGGATGCCTCCCATGGGAATGAAAACAAGGAAATGTAGGGTTTAGGGTCTAGGGGTCATACGGGAGCTTCGCAGCTTAGTGTTTAGGGGTCACAAAAGAGCCTCGCAGGTTAGGGCTTTGGGTCCTGATGCATTCTGAGGGAGCCTTCTCCATCTGCATCAATAAAGGGCGTGGAACGGATTCCATGGTTTGAGGTTGGGCTTTGCAGAATGCAAAAACCAATTAAGAATGTATAGGTTAGGTGGAGCCCCCACCCAGTAATAGTGGCTATAAGGGATACTAGGGATTATGTTAGGGTCCTCTTATATTCTTATTATACCACTATTACACGGTGGGGGGTCCTCCTAATGTATAGGCTCTGCTAACCATGAGGTTTAGACGAAAGGCTCCCAGGCCCCCGGGATCAGGGCGTCTACTTTGCCAACGTGGCCGCACCTGACCCTAAACTCTAAACCCTAAACCCTAAACCCAAAACCCAAAACCCTAAACCCTGGACCCTAAACCCTAAACCCTAGACCCTTTTCTGCATCCAGAACTCTTGACTATGCCGGGCTTGGAGCCTGCAGTGTTCCTTCCCAGTTACCCCAACCACGCAGCAAACTTATCCCCACCATTTTTGAACTCTTATGTCCTATAGAGTATCTCACTGGGCGGGGGACTGGAAATAGGGCGTTTACTCCTTGTTCCAACGCGGCAGCAGCCGGTCCGGTTTCTATGCAAGCACAGCACTCAACGACTCCTCGCTTTCCTTTGCACCGTTATTCAGCGCAAAGGTCATGTCAACTTTCTAAGGTTCGTAGGTAATGGGTCAATGGACCATAGTGATTCTGTTATGATTGTTATTACTACTATTTTTAGTACTGGTATTTTTTCATTTGGGGCTTCTGTAAAAGTTCAGACAGGGACCCATCTCCTCACTAGCTACGAGGCTGACGGTAGTCACAGGTTCGAAGACTCGAGTCTCTTCGACCAGAGCACTGAAAGCGCAAAAAGGTGACCCTGACCTGAGTTGTGGGATCAAAGTTCACGAGATGAAAAGATGGTTGATCCAAGGAGTTAGGGAACATACATACCCCCAATGCCAATACTTGCAAATCCTCCCTGCTAGCCCCCAGAATCACTAAAGGCTTTCTCCCCTGACCACCGATCGGGTTCTGAGTTGCGTTTACTGTTTGGGGCTCTTGAACAGAACCTCCTTTATATGGCCCCTACTGCTGAAACACAGGAGCATGACACAAGCTGGCCAAAAGGTCCAGCTTCATGTTCAAATCTTGAGCTTTGGGTTTCGGGGAAAAACACTCGATGGTGCCGGGGTAGGGCAGGCACTATAAAGACTGTCAGGGGGGAGTATACGGGGACTACACCGAATTCCACCACTAAGCACTAGGTGGCAAAAAGGCTGGATGAACAAGCAGCCGATGCCCTCTCCGACAGCGTTTGGGTAGATGCCTTGCGTCACGAATCAGAGGTCACAGGTCACATGCCTAGGTTTGTCAAACTCTACTTGTGCTTGTCTAAGGAGAATGAAGAACACAAGGATGGGACCTCCGATCTTGACAGAATAACACAGCGAAACATAGGCGGTCCGAAAATCCGGAGCTGATTTTTATTACAAGGTTGGCGGTTCCGCAAGGCGAAATTGTTGTATCCCCAGAAGAAGGGTTATGGTTATGGTATACAGGAATCTATATCTAGGTCGCCCAATTTATGAAACCCACCACATCTTCCCAGAAAGAAAGAAGGGCAAACAAAACTCCTCGGCGCGAGAACAACCAAAGCTTGAGCTACCGTCGTCCTGGAGGCGATGACAACACAGAACCCAGAGAGTCCAAGCCCCAATGATTCGGTACTTGGGTTTTGGGTAATAGAAATTACAGTACAGGTTCTGGGTAAGTATCGGATTATTACAGCTGAATGCAGAATTCTTCAAGCATCGCGATGATAATGGCAAACGCACGGGGCTTTCTACAAAAGCCCATGGAGTGGCAACGCTCGCATACGGTAAGATTGATATTCAACGCCACCCAAAGTGAACACCGAATCTACCCGATGTACACCCATCAAAAATACAAACCATCCTAACAACCCGATTTACTATGACCAATATCTTAATCCTAGCACCGGATTAATTTGCCCCCCCCCCGCCAGAATAAAAAATGGAGGGCGCCAGATTAAAAGCATGATTGGGGCTCCTGGAATTCAATTAAAGAAGAAAGGAATGCATTCCCGCATCATCGGGGCTCTTGGACCTCGAATAATTTAAAAATGAATAGGAATGCATTAAATATCTCGATTTGCAGGATTGGTCCCCCAGAACATTTCTTTAAACCTAGTCCCTTTTCCCATACGAAATTGCACCTAATTGAAATTAGTCTTGGACGGCTAATTTTCCCCAAAAAATTCTTCAAATATGGTCCCTTTTATTAATCTAGTGCTCGGATTACATGGTTAAACCCTGGACTGAGATGTCTAAACCCATGCGAGCAAACGAGCCATGATGCAGAAGCTCGAATACTCGCCAAGATTATCTTTCAACAGGGAGACAAGAAATTGAGGCCCCGACAATAGCATCAGGGTAGTCGGGAAGGAGCCAATCCATGGACGACTGCCCATAAATAGTTTCCAAGAAGGCAGGAAGGCGTGCGCAGCTTAAAACCCCAAATACTAGACATACGGGGCCTGATATGGGAAACCTTCGGAAGCCTCCTCAAACTCTCTAAAACCACCCCAAGAAACACTGTAGACCTCCCCAATCCCAAACCAAAAAACCCAACCCTGAACCCTAAACCTTAAACCCCAAACCCTTCCCACATCTCCGGCCCAGCCCAGCCGCCGGAGAGCTGGGTCGCTTCAATTTTGCATTCTTTCAGGGCTGCAGCAGTCGCTTCTGACTCCTCCTCCGTTCTTACCTTAGGGTTTAGGGTTCAGGGTTTAGGGTTCAGGATTTAGGGTTTAAAGTTCAGGGTTTAGGGCTTAGGGTTCAAGGTTTAGGGTTCAGTTCAGGGTTTTGGGGTAGCATGTTGTGAAGGGTTGGAACACTGGACTTCTGGAACGGGCCTGCCTCGTGGATGTCTCAATACGTAGTAGGTACATATGAGCTACAACCAATACTTCCTTATGTATTGGTGAATAGAGAATGGATCAGTGGCGGGACCCCTAATTCTACTGGGGAGACTGCTACAACAGCCTGAATGTACCTTCTTTGGTCAACACTTTCCAAAACCCTGAACCTCTAAACAAACCCGAGGCTCTCGACCTTTTCCCTGAAGCTGACTTTGTACTAAACCCTAAGCCCTAAGCCCCAAATCTAAGGTATAAGCAAGTCTGCTCTCAAAGTGCAGGGACCCAAGGTGCGGTCTGGGCCTAGATACCTACCAACATTCTAGTAATAATGGAGAATCAGATGGAAAAGTGGTCCCAGATTCCTTGTAGATTTATGCTTGAGGGTGCCCCTCCTTTAGGCCCCTGTACTAGACCACCTAAACCCTAGACCCAGACTCCGTTGATGGAGCCCGGTGGCTACCTGCCAGCCATTCAGCAAAGGCAGTTCAGTGCCATGACCATCAGCGACTTCGAAAGCGCTGGGACTATGGAGGTCCTGTCTGGGTTCTTGTTGAAATACCAAAAAAAAGATTTCTTTTGTTGATATTGGGCCCAGGTATCCATAAAAATGCAAAATTTTGTTCTACAGGAGCCCAGTATTCGATTTCTGAAAGTTTAGAGTTTGGGCTCTTCTGAACGTTTAGTTGAGGGTTCCTTCCGATTTGTGAAGGATTAGGAGGGTTTAGGGTCTTTCGGCGTAGTTGGGGTTTCTGGTGTTCAGGATATATACCTTGCCTCAAATTAACATGAAACCTGAAAAGGGGCCATACGAGGTCTGCCGTCCCTTCATTATATTACAAGTGGGGCATACTTATTCCCTAAACCCTAAACGCAACCCAGGGTCCATGAGCCACTGCAGCGAGACCCAAGCACAGCGCTCGCACTCGGAACTCTGCAAAACCACGTTGCCCGCCGTAGCAGGATCTAAGAGGGCCTGCAAACGCAGGAATCTGCTTCGAGCTTCCCATGTTGGGTATATTGTTAAGGACTGTCTAGAGTTTGGGAAGTAATCCTCAGGGTGGGGTGAGGAAATCTTGCACCACCCAAAATACCCACAAAAATCATGGATGTGATGCAGCACCTTTGGGATCCCAAGTGGTGCATGATTTCCTCCATCCACCTCATCAAGCGCCAAGTAATTTCTGGCCCTCAGGGGCCTATGTGCGTACAACAGTACTGCATGACAGCATAATGCCCGGATTCATCTTGCTTGAAACTACAAATCACTGCATGATGCTGGGATAGATGAGGATGAGGGCCTACGGGTTCAGGTAAGCCCTTCCTTAACCATGAAACCCTAAAAACCCTAAACCGTAAAACCCTAAAAGCGTACACCCTCAAGCTTGAAGGAGGGTAAGGTTTCTTGGCCTGTCTTTGGAAGCTTGGGGCTGAAGATTACGGCCGTTGTACAGGCCTTTGGCCTTTTCATGCGCCATCCCAATACCCTTAGGCCTTACAGCCCCTACATGTCCTGAAACGAGCGACTTCTTCCATGTTACCGCACAAGAATGAAACATCTTTTTAGGAGACCATAGTCCTCTGTAAGAGCACCCAGAATCCCGAAGCACCCCTCGCGCTCCACCCGGCCCATCCTCCAGGAACACAGTCACCGAGTGGCCTTTCACCTAAGCTGGCATAGCAATGTAGACGTGGCTACGTGTTGAAAGAAGGGTCCTGCATATTCACCTCCAACACTTGCATTTAGGGAGTTTAAGAAGGACCTCTGATACCACAGCTTACGGCTGTTGCTACTTTTGAAACTGAAGGGCTATGTGCTATACATACGAGCCCGAGAAAGATACAGGTATATGCACAGACTTAGCTAAGGGTCCCTGCCAGGGATCCATCCACAGAACCCGTACTTTGAGGGACTCTGGAAATAGGTCACGTAATGCCCTAAATACTCCATGGCGGTACATCATACTAGATATTGCCATGAATATTTGATATCAAGGGCGGGGGTGTGGAGTTTTTGACAATTATGGGACGGAATTATCATAACAATCCCACGCTAAAGCTACGGAGTCCTGTTAGAAGCCTTTATGGCCATACTCCCCCATCCCTTAGGTAACCCCACCGTCCCAGCCGCTTGTCCAGCCTCGATGCAGCCTTCTACAGAGGTGGGAAAAACGCTTTCCCAAAGGCATAGAGGCTGCAAGGAAGAAGGCGTCCTTAATTGGAGGGTCAGGAGGGCTTAGTAAATGGGTTAGTAATGGGGATAACTAGGGTTACTATATGGGTTATAGGTGTTATTAACATACTTACTAAGTCTCCTCGACCCTCCAAGTACTTCCCAAGGAAATGCGCGGAAACCCCCCTAGTTTTTGAATCCTTTCAGGGGCTCCTGGGACCGGCAGCTATCAAAAACCCTATACAATCCTTTCCGATCCACCATCGGGTATTAGGCCTTTTTTGGGATTGAGGTGTTGAGGGCCTGGGGGGGTTCGGTTTGGGGGCTCATGGCATCGCAAGTTTTAACGCTGGGGTATTTTATGATTTCACTGCGTTGAAGGAACTTCCACTAAGTTGCTATAGTAAAGAAACCGCATCAATTGCTATATATGAATAGTAAATGAAATTCAGTTCCCTACACCCTAAACCCTAAACCCCTAAAGGCCACCCAGTTTTTTGGGGGGAGTGGGGGCATTTCTCAGAGTTAGGGTGTTGTATGCCCTTCTAAACTGCCAGAAGGCAAGACGTCAAGAACTTAGTTGAGCGACTTTCAGTACGAAAGTCACTACTACTTCATCACATGGTGTTCATTTCATCCCAGTTTACATTCCAGTTTCCATTTTCTTTTCCATTTGATTAGAGATTGGGGGGTACACGATATTAAAGTTGTATGAGCCTAATCCTTATAATATGACCCCCATAACTCGTTTTACCGGATCCGTAAACAAACCCAGTATTCAATGGTTTGGCCTTGCGGTTTGAGGAGCACGCTAAGACCAGTCTCCTCCACTAGCTCACGGCTAGCAGCCACGGCCAAGGCCTCTCCAGGTAGGGACATCACGAAATGCTAGGGTTTGGGGCTTGGGATTTAAGGCTAAGTAGATGAATTATGACCCTGAGCCCAACCCTAAGCCTTATAACCCTTAAATTAGCGTTATCTGAGTTATCTGTAATGTTGAATATTCGAGACTTGAAATACTCCTGGTGAAAACTTGGATTTTTGCCTGCCTGAAAGCCTGCGGTGTCTGGGGCTTCAGGGTTCAGAGACTTGCGCTTGGGGATGGGGAGGCGTAAAACTAGGTACTACCACAGTGATATAATAATATACACACATATGTATACCTACATATGGGAAACACCAAGAGTTAGCTACCCAAAGTGAGAAACCGTCCACCTTGAACTACTCCTGGACAACCTCTTTACGCTGGCGCAGGGCACGCACATTTCTGAGCCTGCCTAGGAGCTAAGCTTTAGACTCTAAGCCCCAACACCCTGAGCCCCAAAACCTAAGCTCCGAACCCTATAGGGCGCCTAAATCCTAAACCCCAAACCCCAAGCTTTGAACCTATAAGCACCAGTAAGCAGAGTCTGGCGATGCCTCGCCCTCATCGACGCCACCGCCTGGAAACACCCAGCACCTGGCCAGCGAAAGTGGACTGGAATAGGAATAGAGGAGGACCCTAATATACTCCTTATTATAGTCACTATGACAGGGTGGGAGGTCCACATAAGCTATAATCTAAACTCCTCGGTACCCCCCCCTAATAACCCCTATAATACTCCCCCACATCACCCACTGTAAGGAGTTTAGAAGGTTCGGGGTTTGGGATGTACGGTTTAGAGTTGTTTTTGTTGCGGCTCCTGTTACCACCTGTTACATCTGTGCAATAAGCGCTTTGGAGCAGTAGCTGCGCACAAACCCTGTTGCCACCCAAGCTTCAGCTAGAGGCAATCATTAGGGCCTATATGGGACTCACAATTTTGGGAAAGCCCCCACAAAAGAGTTTCAATGGAATAGCATGTCAGCCTTTGCGCTACCTACTCATGCATGATTTGTGATTTATCAAGGCTTACGACATGTAAGGATTTGAACAGGGATGTCAAGAGGATGCAGTACATCACCGAACGCCAGGTCCCTTTAAAGGGATGAGGAAATAGGGGCATATAGGGGGTCATGGGTTCCACGGGGATTGATTTTGAAGGTATCTGCGATAAGGCCGGGTTTTGGATTCTGGCTTGGTCCTTCTGCGGTGTTACTGCCACAATTTTACGCCCTGGTGTTCTTTTCAGTTCTTGTCTTTGAGGCACATGAGCCATTGTCTAAACTCCTAGTATCTCCCTGAATAAGCCCATACCACTCCCCTAGATAAACCTCTACAAAGCCCCCTTTGTGTAGACTTTTCACACCAGGCCCATGGAAAGCCAGGAACGATCCCCTGAAACTCGGAGCAATCTTCGGAAACCCGAAGGATGAACCATAGGCCCCCTAGCATGGGCCCTCAAGATTGGGATCCTTACATAGCTACCTATGTACCCTGTATGTACCCTGATGCGCCCCTAGAATCCCCCTGAAAGGCCTGAGGGTCCATATTGGGGGCCCATACTTCTAACCCAGAGAAGCATGCCCACCTCGGAAATGTGCGCATGTGAGCAGCACGCTGGGTAACCAATAGCCGCCCTTCGCGATCTTGGGGAAAGACGACCACTGCAAGCTTCACATTGGGAGCACCTGGGTTGTCTCCCCCATTTATCGCTACTATTAACCATTTTTACAAATGATTAACGATTTTTATTAAGTATTACTTTTATTATGGTCCGATGAGGGTCTGTTTAAGGCTTATCTCAGCCTTGTTTGGGGGCGGAGGGTGGGATCCTATGAGGTCGTTTGCTGCTCTCTGCTTAACCATTATGTTGGTTCCATCCGAATTGAGTCAAGTACTCTTTTTGCCATGCTGATGAATGCATATTGACCTCCCTTCGCGCGTTAACGAACGGTGTTTCAAGTAAACCCTAAACCCTAAACCCTCATTCAAAATGGATAAAGGCACGTGGTGGTAGCGTGACTCCTCTGGCAGCCAACTCGGCCACTGGGCACTGCACGGAGTGACCCCAAGTGTCCTGACAGCTGGGAACTACGGTTAGGGTTTAGGGTTTAGGGCATACTGACAAAGCTGCGTGGCCCTTAGCATCCTATGCCTTGGGAATCGTGGCGCTCTAGTCTACGAAGCTCATGCAGGGTTCTTGTATCGACGGTACCAAAGCCCAACTTTTCTGGGCTTGCAATTACAGATTCCCACTACCTGCACCCTGACTTGTAGAATAATGGCCCTTTCTGACTGTTTGGCCCTTTCTGACTGTTTCTGAGAGTCGTGGGCCATTCTTTTTGCTACTTTTGGGGTTGAGGTAGGCGCTCAAAATCCCTAAACATTTTTTTTGCATCTGGAACTCCCTAAACCCTACACTAAGGCTAGGGCTCTCAGAATAAAGCGCACCCAACCTTGACCTTGACTTGGAATTTTGAAGTCCCCAAGCCTCTTACAAAGTACGAGTCAGTGCTCCACGTACCCCCACCATAGGTGGGAAAATAGGCATATTACAAAAACATCAGTGATGGCCATACGGGTACTTACAAAAGACTAGAGGCCTTCGCTAGGTTCTGACTTGGGTCTTTTCGTGGCCCAAAACCCTAGAAACCAATATATACTTCCAATTTCCATTCCAACCCCTACAACCCTTTTGGGTTTAGGGTTTAGGGGTTTAGGGTTTTATTTTGAATGGACCTAATGTTTCAATTTCATGCTCCATCTTCTTTTCTTCTTGACTCTTCATTATTCCCCTACACAACTCCACCTAGATCCCTGAAGGCTGCACACCTTCTGTACGACACAGAGTCCCCCTAAGTAGATAGAATATGGGATATATGGGGATATTGTTATAATATACCCAAAGCTATATTCTATCTACTTGGACTATAGTTGGGCTTAGTTTCCTTGCTTTCCGAATTTGCCTCTTTATTCTGCAGTACACCCTAAACCCTGAAGAACCGCTAAACAGACCCAACCTTCCGTATCTTGCGGCCTGGGATTTCGGAAGGGATGGCGCCGCACGACCGAAGCGCAGGAGCTTCCGAGGAGTCGCTCTCGGCTCCTTTCAGACCCAGGGCTTGAGTTTCGGACTAGACTCTAAACCCTAAGACTGAGAGCCACCGCATTTGAGAAAACAATGCTACCCACCCTCAAGGTCTGTGACGCCTCTCTTCCACGCAGTCCTTCATGCATTCTGGCCTTGTCTACCTGAAGCCCTAAAAATTTGCCTATCTGAAACCATAACAGGTCCAAACTTCTAAGCCTGCGTCCCTCCAACTTTACCCGGAACCTAGGGTTTAGGAGTCAGGGTTTAAGGTTCAAGCCGCACTGAAACCAGTAGCTTTTGGTCATCCCAGCCCCCAGAACTAGGACCCGATGACTATCGTTTGACCAGTTGGCTCCCAGCTTTGTGGGGTTGGGGAGGCCCAAATCCTCTTGTTACTCCACTTTCCATTTCATGTTCCGTTTTCTTGTCTGTCTCGTGTAACCCCTATAACCCCTTTAAAGGGACCTACAATTTCCCTTTCCCATTCTAGCGTTGCTTGCATTAGATTATCCACTCCCCAGAGAAAGCCTCCTCGTGTTGGACCAGCAAGTGCACCTCCCCAGGAGAGATCTCTTCCAACGTGATGTCTTGCCTCGGCCCCAAAAAGAGTTATATGGAGATGTACAGGGTTATATGGGGACATATATACAGATTATGTAGGGATATATAGGATGCCCTACGGCAAAGACAAAACAGGATGCAGCTTTGAGCGTTGGGTTTGCAGCAAAGACTGCAAAAATAGAAATCTTAGGTTAAGTGTTTAGGGTTAGGGCACAGCACTCAACTACGATCCTGAGGCCTATACTCTGCGACCCAGGTGCTCCTCGAAAAATAGACCTCTCCTGTTAGTCTTGCTTCCGACTGCATCCCAAACCTTAGAAGCACAAAGTTGAGAAGGTGTGTTCAGGGTTCAGGCTTAGGTTTAAGGGGTTGGGCATCGGAAGACTCATTTTAGCGCTATCCTGTTATTCTTTCCCTTGACTGGACCCTCGTCTTTAAGGGAAACCAACCTCGTATGGCAAACATTATAATCAATAGATATCAATAGGAGGATATGATCGCATAATCTTATTCTGCACGGACGCCTATACTATATGCCGTGTCACTCCCGCTAGACCTACACGCCGCAGCCATAATTCTGCTGAGCCCATGCTGTAAAATGGCATCTCCATAACTAGGTGGGAGCCCAATATAGACCTCAAATACTTTAGGCCTGATCACTTGGACTCCCCAAACCCTAAACAAGACCCCTGACTCTTGGAAACGGGACTGGGGCCGCTGGGGCTCTTCAAGCAGGACCCCTGTTCCTTTGGGGCCCAGATACTGCAGCAGTGATGTTTCTAGTACGCTGGGAGGCTGATGAAAGCCCCCAACACCCGTAATAAAATCTTCCCCATATCGTACCGTCACATAATAGGGGAAGGTTTACTAGAGGGGGCGGGGGTCATGAAACTTTCGCAGTTCGAGGTGGCAGCAAGCCAGCAGGATACGCGGTAAGCCAACCGGGCCGGATAGGGCAACCATAGGGGCAGCTGTAACCTGCCACCACCCAAAGGAACCAACCCTAAACCCTAAAGACTTTGGGAAGTCCTGGACACCTGGACTTCAGAATTCGAGACGCGTAATGGCAGGACGTAAGGCGGTTCCGTATTAGGATAATCTGGACTATGACAGCTTCATACGCCTCAAAGGGCTTTGGTAAAACAAAAATCACAGTCATTTCTAAAAGTAACTCAGTTAAAGGGATTCTGCCATCCCAAGCTAAGTAGCACTTTGTCCGTATGGACACGGCTGGGCGAGGCCTTCTCTGAAGATGTTCACGCTCGCTGGCTCAGCCATTCGCCGCAGACGAGCAAAAGACCGGACGCGGGCGAACATCCAGCATGAGGGTTTAGGGTTTAGGGTCCAAAAGAGCTTCCATTGCTTTGCGACCACTTCTGTGTGGTGCAGTTGCAGTTGCCTATGTTGAATAGGGTTTGGGGCATGTGTTATGCTGTAACTAATTCTATGAAGAGTACAAGAGGATGATATTGATGACTATTTGAGTACTTAGCTTTCTGCGTTATCTTACCCATTCTCCCGTTCCACCAGACTTAACTGACTGCACCAGCTTTCGCTAAAACTTGCTAGGACATACTTGAACTTGTGTGGCTGACAACGTGCACTTACGTTTGTCGTGATGTCTATTCAAACCCTGGGGATCCATTTCATAAATTCTTTGATAGTAGTTTGGGGTTGAGGGTTCAAAGTGTACCTACTTCAGGCTATTTGGGAGACCAAGGGAAAGCTTGTCTTGCCTGCCGGCTTGCTAACCCTAACCCCTGCCCTGAAAGATTAGAGGCACGGACCCCTAATATGGGCCCTTGGTACAAAGCGGATATATACCTTAAGTATACAAGGATCCCAGGGCTAAGGGGTCATACCAGAGTCCTATGGTTTCAACCTTTGTTGTGCAGAAAGACCTCCTGTAACTGTGATCTGGCTGTTACAATTTGAGGTTTGGCGTACTTCTAACGCTGTTACGAAGGCTCGAGAGGGCCCCCTTCAAAGAAGGTCCTGCGAATATGTAGGGTTTTGGATTTAAGGTTCGAGGTAATTGTAACCGTCTAGTGATTGGCACTGACTTGGGCTCTTGTATTTGGACTACAGCTCCGTTTGCGAACACTAGCCCGGCTGCCCAAGTGTTCTGTGCAAAAAGCCAGGTGTCCCCTTTCGAAACAATTTCGGTCCCTAAGCCGTAAACCCCAAACCCTGTAGCCCTCGAACCTTGCAACCCAAACACGCAAACTCGATAATCTGAAGCTAAAAGCAAGGTTTAGGGTTTAGGGAAGCCATGCAAACTCTGAACCTCCAAACCTTGCATGCCTGAACCATGACCCTGGGCTGCTGAGGGACTTGTATCATTCTCTCCCTCCCGCCTGGCCTTGTATTAACTTGCATAACATGCCCGGCTGGAAAATGATAGGGTTTTGGGTTATGCTGAATTTGACTTCTTTGGCAGCAGCCCAGGAAGATCCTAAGCCCAAGCCCTCAACAAAAAACTGCAGTTGGCCTGTGCTGCTTGCCATGGCGTTCTGATAACAAACGCCCAAAGCTTCGGCATCCATGATGGCCTTCCCAGTTGGACGCTGCCCTCGCACTCTAACAGTGGTATGTAGGACCCTCATTCCGCTGTTAGGGAACTGTTCTGTTTACTGGTTCTTAATAAGGAATAAGGAAATGCAATCCCTATATAATATATTCCCTCATTCACTACTAACTGAAAATCAGTAAGTGTATGGTTGGGACAGTCTCAGAAAGATTACCTTGGCTCCTTCCCTTCGTAACAGTACAGTCCAAGGTGGCCTCCGCTTTTCAAAACATCCATCCCACCTCTCAAGCAAATCCCAAACTTCTGTGCCTCTTCCGAATTCTCAGCAGAGACACCCTATAACCCTAAACCGTAAGAGCGCTCCCTACACCCCAAGGACGCATGAGAATTGCGAGGTGTCGCAACCCAAGCGACACGCGCATCGCTTTAAGAACATACATACATGTCCACAACTTCTTGCGTGCTTCTGAAGATCAAGCCCGCGGCTACAACAAGCAGACATGTGACATCTGCACTTCGCTACCTAATCCCAAAACCTAAAATTCCGATGGTGGATTGCCGGGTCCACCTGTGTAGCGCCTTGACTGCCGTAGGGCAGCAGAGGGTGGGCCGCATCCCCAAGCAAGGTTACCTGAATAGCAAAAGAGTTTAGGATACTTTGTTGGCTGAGCCAAGATACTACACAGTGGAAGATTGCATCCTCCATTTGGGTGTTGTTACTACACCCAAACAAAGGATACAATCTCCTTCTGTGTTTGGGCTTCATCTAACAGAGTCGAAAAAATACACCGTTCATA